GTAGTAGTATGTTACTAGTGTTTTCTAAAAACCTTCATCCAACGAATAATATTAGGTCACGTCATCAATAGCCTGATAATACAGTTGCTATCATTAACGGTTTCTAGTTCGGCGCGTAGAAGAAAAGACCATTTCACGCGCCTCAATCATTTTGTGTTTCTGTATTTATCGACACACTCAATGTCCCACTTGCACTCACTTATTACTCTCTAGTACCTTTCGGTGGTTTCTGAATCTTTTATCTTCTTCAAGAAAAGTTTTATCTTCTGTGAAAAATTCTTCACACAGAATTTTAAACCTTTGTTTTGTTTTGGCAATGTCGAAAGCGTTTACGATGGTGGTGGCTCTCTGCTTTTTACCGGTGCTGGTTATGGCGGCTCGTCCGAACAAGAACCCGTTCGTCGTACGAGGTCGTGTCTTTTGCGACACATGCCTTGCTGGTTTCGAAACTCCCGCATCTACTTACATTCCTGGTACGTACCGTACCAAATCATCCAAGATCCAATCGGTTTTTTAGCCAATATCAAATCGGGGTTTTGCAAATTCTTCCTTGTTCGTTTTTTTGAACTTGTGGATCTGGATCGGATTTTACTTCATGAGTGTCCGATCGTGTTGCGGACTGAATCAGCTCTAGATGTTTCATGGTGAGCTATTCGGATCCAATCCAAACAATTTAAGAGGCTAGGTGTTCTAAGAAGAATAATTTAAGAATATCGAAACGATGAATGCCGATCTATGGCAAATCGGATATTATAGTTGTGTGATTTGAGTATCATGAGCCTCCACTAGTGTCATATGCACGGGCATGTTAAAACCTAGTGGTTTGTTCTAGTACCGTTATGCATTACTGATCGGGTTCAAACTCGCATAATGCATCTTGTTGACCAAAGAAAATTGTAATTTATAATGTAACGTCCATTGATCTTGTGTTAGTGAATATCTTTTGTCATTATTAGTGTGTTACTCTAGAATCGTTTCGTACTAATGGAGATTTGAGATGTTTGAGTGATTAGTATTCTTTCGTGTTGATTGGTTAGAGTGGTTTTTCTTTTATCATGAATTATAGGAGCGGTGGTTAGACTGGAATGCAAAGACAGGAGAACAATGGAGTTAACATACACCCACGAGGCGAGAACTGATTCCACAGGATCATACAAGATCTTGGTTAACGAGGACCACGAAGATCAGTTTTGTGATACCATGTTGGTTAGTAGCTCACAGTTACGCTGCTCCAATGTCTCCCCTGGCCATGACCGTGCCCGTGTAACCCTCACCCGTTTTAACGGCATAGCTTCAGATGACCGTTTCGCCAACAATTTGGGATTTTTGAGGGATGCAGCACTACCAGGTTGCGCAGAGATCATGAAGCTATACCAAGAAACCGAGGACTAGTTTACCTACAAGCAGCACAAGGTTACCTTCTGCATTTCATTCAGTATGTTGTATGAGGTTTCCTGCAACCTCTGGTATTTTGTGCATTCTATTGCACTTCTGTCATGGTTTTAATGCTATAAAAGAGAAAAGAGAAATACATATTGAATATGATCCCGGAGAAGAGGAGGATAAGAAAACATACAATGAGTGAATTTTTTGCGGGTAGTCTCAGAAATGACATACAATAAGATTTTCATGTGTGCTTAACTTAAAGTTACAAACAATGGATACTCATCACGGAATCGATCCGTTTCTCTGACTCATGCCACGAGGTTGATGCTCGTCCTCAGATATATCCTCAGAGCCGGGGTGAACACTGTCAGAGGTGGCACGGTCAGAGACAGATAAGAAGCTGAGTGATTCTAGAGAAGTGGAAGCAATGTCCTCCAAGGCTGCGAGTCTTTTCTTGTCGTCCTCTTTCATCCTTTCTGAATGCTTGTTTATGTTGAAACCCGACTCATCGCCTCCACCAAACGCTGACTCCATCTTGTCCATGGCCAAGATCTCCTCCATTATCTGCTTGGTGTTTGGGTCATCCGAGTAAACAAACTTCACTTTATTCCGTGTCTTCGGCTCTAAAAAGGGCCTCGCCACCTATAACAACGGTCACATTCATTTGTGCTTTAGACCAACATAACTGTAACTAAAATGATCCTTAAGAGTTTACCTTCCAGAAAGGTTCAAAGAACTTGGGAGGATTGTAGAGGATGGCCAGAGACAATCGCTCAGGGTAATGTTCTTGCAATACGTGAGCTGTTTCTTTTGTAGCTCTTAAGGATACATTCGCCAAGCTGTAACCGTGGAAATCGATCATCCACACCATTTGTTCCTCCTCTGGTGGCAAATTTTGGATTGCATTCTCCATACAATACACAAGATGCCTTATCTGGCCTTTCACCGACTTCGAATTCTAAACAACTCAAAACAAAATTGGGTAATTAAAAGTAGTCATAAGATCAAAATATATCAGAAATACTCTCTCTGCATTGCATTGATGATGAACAAACCTCGCAACTCGGTCTTATGATGAGAACAGGTCGTCCATGTTTGTCGACGCAACTCGATCTATATATCTTCCCTGTCGCTGCTTCATCAGCTATTTCCTCCTACAAAATAACATGTTCCATCAGAATATAACACATTAGTCATATGTACCAACAAGATCACACAATAATGTTTACCCAACAGATTTCCTCAGGTTTGTATTGAACCCTCCATTTCAAGGTTTCTTTAAGCATTTTTGCAGCCTTCTTGACATGCCAATTCCGCGCCCTTAGATACCTCGAAACCGCATCATCCGAACAAAAACTCGATAGCTTCTCCGGTAACGGCCCTAACAGCTTTCTCACTTCCTCTATCTGAATTCAAATTCATAATAAAATCTGATTTAAAGATTTCTCTAATAAATCACCAAACGTTTATTACAAAAAAAAAAAAACAATGACAAAGTTGGAGTTACCTTTGCCTTCTCTTCTTCAGTAGGAACATGTTTTACAAACCCATTAGTGACTGGATTAGGGTTCATAACTTAAGAATTCCCTTCTTTATAACCTAAAGACAAAATCAAGTTTTCAGTAACCAAAAAACAACAATTTTTTTATATTAATCTTAGAAATTTCAGAAGATGAACACACACACAAACCCATCAAAGTTATTTTTTGTTTGTTTGTTATAGTTAGTTGCAGAGACAAGACTATTAGAGATGTCTTAAGAATCTAATCTTTGAGCTAAGGCAAATTAGCGGTCGGGAAATGTCGATCTTAATCTCACCGACCACAATCGTTTTAGCAGAAATGTTGGGTCGGGAGGATCTTTGTCTACGCAACAAGTACAAACTTCAAAATTCAAAGGAAATGCCCATTAAATCACAAACCTAGAACAACGAAGAAAGAATCGAAGCTTAAGAACTAACCTTTTGAAATAGTCTTGGGAACCGAAGCAGAGAGAAGAAGAACACAGGGAAATGCGTAGGAGTTGAGGTCAAACAAACAAACAAAAATGTCTATGTAGCAGAGAGCTATTAAACGACGAAATGAATATTCGACAATTC